CCTAGGCAAATCGGTCTCACCGATAGGGATCTCGGTCTCACCGAGATGGGATTGTAATCTCTCTATTTCCCTTCGTAACATTTTGGTACCACTGAGATGAGCGATCGGTCCCACCGAAATTGCAATGTAAACTCTCTATTTCCCTTTCGTAACATTTCGGTCCCACCGAGATGAGTGAATCGGTCCCACCGAGTTTACCTGACCAACTCTCTGGTTAGCTTTTTACCAAAATCGGTCTCATCGAGTTTGTGTAATCTGTTTCACCGAGATTACGTTAAGCCCTAACCCTAACCATATCGGTCCTACCAAGTTGCATGTCGGTCCCACCGAAAATCCTAACGGTCACTAGGTTTGCTGAATTGGTCCGACCGAGTTTCTCAATTCGGTCCCACCGAGATTGGCAAGTTGTGTGGAAGGGTTAGATCTTGTGTGGAGGCTATATATACCTCTCCACCTCCTCTTCATTCGTGGAGAGAGCCATCAGAACGAATCTACACTTCCAACTTACATTTTCTGAGAGAGAACCACCTACACTTGTGTTGAGGCCAAGATATTCCATTCCTACCATATGAATCTTGATCTCTAGCCTTCCCCAAGTTGCTTTCCAGTCAAATCTTCTTTCCACCAAATCCAAATCCTGAGAGAGAGAGATGAGTGTCGGGGAGACTATCATTTGAAGCACAAGAGCAAGGAGTTCATCATCAACACACCATTTGTTACTTCTTGGAGAGTGGTGTCTCCTAGATTGGCTAGGTGTCACTTGGGAGCCTCCGACAAAATTGTGGAGTTGAACCAAGGAGTTTGTAAGGGCAAGGAGATCGCCTACTTCGTGAAGATCTACCACTAGTGAGGCAAGTCCTTCGTGGGCGACGACCATGGTGGGATAGACAAGGTTGCTTCTTCGTGGACCCTTCGTGGGTGGAGCCCTCTGTGGACTCGCGCAGTCGTTACCCTTAGTGGGTTGAAGTCTCCATCAATGTGGATGTACGATAGCACCACCTATCGGAACCACGACAAAAACATCCGTGTCTCCAATTGCGTTTGCACACTCCAAACCCTCCCCTTTACATTCTTGCAAGTTGCATGCTTTACTTTCCGCTGCTCATATACTCTTTGCATGCTTGCTTTAATTGTGTTAAGATTGCTTGAACCGTGCTAAGTTGCTAAAATCTGTCAAGAACTAAAATTGGGAAAAGGATAAGTTTTTATTTGGTCAAGTAGTCTAATCTCCCGCCTATAGACATACTTTCGATCCTACAGATGATCTTGCCTTGCCGAAGCCCATACGCCGGGGACGATTCCGACGCGTCCTCTCACGGTTGCTGATGCGGGCAGCAGTCGCGAGGGAATGTCTGCATTTAATGCCTCTAACAATGAGATTCCAGTCCCTTCGCGGGGATGGCCATGCTATAGAAATGCTTCCCGGGGCTCCGGGGGGCGCTTTCCGGAGCCGAGAAGCTAGTGAAGCGCTTTGTGCCACTCTCATGCGGCTCGTGTCTTGGATCCCTGGAAGTCAAACCTCCAGTATCATTGTCCCAGGCATGGTCTTTCCTTGGGGGCCACAGTGAAGCCTTAGGCTAGTAGGCCCGCGGTACACTTGTTCCTGTTGGGCTGTCAGTCCCAAAGCATGGCATGGACAGTTTAGAGGATGCTCCAAGGATGCCACCATCATTCTTGAGTCTATTGCTGATCAAGAGGCATGGATTTTACATTCATATTTTTGGATGCCTGGATCTTGCAACGATATCAATGTGCTCGACCGGTCATCTCTTTTTGCCATGTTAGCAGATTGAGAAGCTCCACCAGTGACCTTCGAAGCAAATGGCCGCACCTACAACTATGAGTACTACCTTGAGGATGGGATCTATCCGAAGTGGAGTACTTTTGTGAAGCTAATCCAAAGCCCCCAAGGTAAGAAAGAACTTTATTTCACAATTCTCATGTGGCGGCTAGAAAGATGTTGAGAGGGCATTTGAGATTTTACAATCACAATTTGCTATCGTGCGAGGACTGTCTAGATTCCGGGATCAGAAAAATATTTGGTACATCATGACTGCTTGCGTGTTCATGCACAACATGATCATTGAGAATGAGCGTTCACAGGTTTTGGATTACACCTTCTATGATCTCATGGGCATACTCGTTATGCCGATGAGAAAAGAGGACCGAATCAGATGTTTCATGAAGGTGCACCATGAAATTAGCGACGCCGATATGCACAATGAACTTCAAAAAGATTTGATGGAGGAGTGTTGGATTTGGCATGGCGAAAAAACCTCTGAGTTTCATTCTTTGTTTGTTGTATTGTGCAAGAACTTTGTTGTATTTGTGTTGTATTTGACGGTGTAGATTTGGTGAATTATGTAATAATTTGATATTGTGGACATATGCAATTTTATGTTTTAATTTGGGATATTTTTTTATTTCAAATTGTGTTGTTGTTGTTGTGCGGTTGAACTACTTCTGTAGAACGATTATAGCACTACTGCCGCGCGGCCGTTTTCGTTTTTACATCATTTGTTGGAGCACTAGTTTTACATCGTCATTGTACATCATCTGTTGGGGTTAGATATTTTTTTCTATGTAAAAACACTTTTTGGTGATGTAAATTATACATCTAGCACTTTTACATCTTCAAATATACATCTTCTATTGAAGATGATCTTGGAAATGATTTTTTTTGTAAGAATGTGATGTCACATACAATAAATTCCTGTAGGATTTATGAAAATGGAAATTTTACAATATGTGTCTTTGGATGGTGCTGCACACAAGAATTTTAGAGTATCGAGGAAAAACTATGAAGAGGGATAAAGTATAAGTGCATTGGATTTTTCAAAGAGAAAATAAAATAAGATTTTTAACACCGTACAAACAAAATCTTATACATATGTACACACACTCATCCCTATAAAAGCATCTACATCCACATATGACATCCACCCCCTCAAACGCCCGCGGACGCGTCCGGACACATCCGCGGGCAGTGACCAGACATATCTTTCACTTGTTGCATCCGGACATCTTATACTCGATTCTTATATCTGTACAAAGACATGTAAAAGAAAATAGAACCTACATACTACATCGATCCTAGCTACTCCTTGTCGGAGATCACGACGATCTCCGTGCCCGGCTCCGGCAGCATGGGCGACAGCTGCAGCTCCGGCTCCGGCTCCTCCGCTCCGGCCTCCTCCGCCTCTATTTCCGCGTCGAGCTCGGCGAAGAGCGCGTCGGACTCCGCCTGCTGCCACTAGAGGAACGCCCAGTTGGCCTTCACATAGGTCTCATCCTGGATGGACTCCGGGATGGCCTGCTGCCCGGCCATCTCGTCAGACTGGGCGACGGCGAACTCCGCCTTCACCTGCTCCATGTTGAAGGGCAGCACCTGCTGGTCCGGCTCCTCCGCCTACTTCACCTCCATCGAAGCCATCTCCTCATCCTCCTCTTCCACCGGCTGCTCCTCCTCCTCCTCCGGCTCCGACGAGTCCGGAGGCAGCCCGACAGCGATGCGGGCGGCGCGCGCGGCTTCCCTTGCTCGGATCTGCTACTGGATCTCGTATCAGCGCTCCGGCGTCAGCATGGCATAAGAGGTGATCTTGCTCCAGACCATGGCAGAGTGCCGGAGAATGGGCAGAGCGCTGGAGCGGGAAAGGAAGGAGGTGGATGGGCTCGGACTGGCGGCGCGGGGAGGGGGGAGGGGGATGGGTTAGGGTTGTCGGACGCCGGCCGACTTAAATGGCCGGATTTCGTCTTGGGCGGCGAGCTGGAGCGGCGCCACGCAGCGTTCACACCGCGGAGACGAACAGGGCATCCGTCGAACCGCCGGGTTTCCAGACGTTTCCGTGTGGGGCCACGCCGTCAGGCCGACGTGGCGGGCGTGCCCCGGTGCCTCCATATCTGCCCCATATTTGGGCTGGATATGGGGGGTGCCGGTCAGCCCGGACATTTGATGGCTGTTTGAGAGGCCCGTCTGGATCAATAAATTGTGACCGGGCGGCCCGCCCGGGGGTACGAAGCGGGTTTGAGTGGTTCGGTTGTAGATGCTCTAACACACGGACACACACACCCTATCTTTATAGCACCTTCAAGAGATTGAGCAGACACATCATCTTAAGATCTACAAAGTCGCCATAGACGCTTTCATAGCCGATGGAAGCGTCTCCTCTTTCTGAATGCACATTACTGGATGGCCTGTTAAAATAAAATCAAAAAAATACGAGCACCATATCTTTTAGCATGAGCCTAGGCACCCTCCTCACCACCGGCTTCTAAAGCCGAAGAGGTGAATCCACGGGCTTATCGGCCGAGATCGAGGAGGAATATTTTGCCCTACTCACACTGCGAGAGAGGAAAGAAAAGTTTCGGTGGGCAGAGACTTAAAAAATGTTTTAGCTGACTGAGCATTGTACGTAAAAGCAGCATGGTGTGAACAATCCCTGAAGTGATGGTCGAGCCAGCAATTCCAAGCGGCTCTCACACCACGCTTACTTTGACACGTACTCAAAGATGACTGTTCATTTGTCCTTGTCTGCAGAAAACTATCACTTCACTATTTTCAGATTGCGCAAGAGTTCAGCGAGCAAAAAAAGATGAGGTGCGGCGAGCAAAGAAGCGAGAGCAAGAAAAGATCCAGAGACGGAGAGTGAAAGGAAGATATTTCTACCATGTGGAGAAGATTTTTCTCATGGTGAAAACTCAAGCCCCAGGGTCTCTGATCCTCTGATCTTTTTGCTTTTTGTCCCATAGCTAAACCCCCCCAAAATCAAGCGGGCCATCTCAGTTGCCCAGCGATCCTCTACCAGTAGCATCATCCGCGCCGTCGTCGCCGCCTCCCCACCACACAAGCGCGCTCGCGTCTATCCACGCCTATATATGACGACTCCTGCAAGCACGAGGAGCTAGCCGATCTTTGAACTCAGCCATCCACACCTGCAAAACCAAAGGAATTGAGCAAGGAAGTAGCTAGGCAGAGATATCATCGGAGGCACGCACGCACGATGGCCACCATCTCTTCTTGCAGCCGCCTGTGCGGCGGCGGCAGCAGCACCGCCTTCCACCGCCGCCGCAGCCGGCCTGCGCGTGCCGCCGTCGTCACCTGCCGGAGATTCTCCGCCGTCGTCCGCGCGGCCGCGGCCGCCTCTGCCACCGCCGCGGCGCCCGTGTCCACCGTGCCGCAGACCAAGGAGTAAGCAAGCGAGCTATCTCCACTGTTCTGCGCTCCTAGCTAAGATATGATGCATATTTTGCTGTGTGATTAATCGACTCGTGGAACCGGAATTGGTCTCTAGGGTGAAGCTTCCGACGTGGGCGGAGTTCGAGCTGGGGAAGGCGCCGGTGTACTGGAAGACCACCAACGGCCTTCCTCCAGCCCCGGTAATTATTCACTCCTTTGCATCGATCCATGCACATATCGACATAGTTCTTATCTCCGAGCTTCGCCTTATCTTTAATTTTGTGTGTGTGTGTGTGTGGCAGGGAGAGGGCCTGAAGATATTCTACAACCCAGGGACGACCAAGCTGACACCTAACGAGCAGTTTGGCATCGCCTTCAACGGTAACCAGAGCAAACTAAACAAGCTCCTGATTCCATTTTCTGTCGAAGTTCCTTGGACAAGATTGATCAATTTGATTGGCTTGTGCCTCGGTATGTACTAGCTGACCGATGAGGTGTTTAACCTGTATGCAGGGGGCTTTAACCAGCCGATCATGTGCGGCGGCGAGCCGAGGCAGATGACGCTGCAAGAGAGGGGGAAAGCCTGTCCCCCCATCTACACCATCAGGATCCGGGTGCCGCAGCATGGTCTGTACTCTGTACACACTTCTAGCCTAATTCCTTTTAGCTAGCTTATTATGGTTACTGATGTAGTCTTGTGCTGCTGCAGCCATGACACTGGTTTTCTCCTTCACCAACGGAAATGAGTGGGACGGGGCTTACACCCTCAAGTTCAAGGTCCCCAAGCCATGGCTCGACAAGCCTTTGAGCTTCTTCAACGAGGTAAGTAATTACGTTTCTCAAACACTCCATGACAAAGGTCAAGGGTTCAAAATGCCTTAGCCATCACCCTGCCACGGTGGGGCTTTCCGTGTTCATCATGTATGGAGGTGGGTAAGAACTAAGAACCTTGGTGGTGTTGGTGCAGGGACTGGCTGACGAGCTCAACCTGGAGGGCGCCTGCGACAGGGCCATCTTCCCGGATGAAAACATCGTCATCACAAGCTGCGACATCGGTGGCTTCTACGAGGAGGGAGGAGACCGGTGCAAGCTGGACATCGTGAGCGGGTGCATGGACCCGACCTCGCACATGTTTGACCCGCTGGCCACCATCGACGACGGCTCCTGCCCGCTGGACTCTGATACGGAGGAGTGATCACCACCAAGACGGCATGAGCAGCAGACGATATGTACTCATAAGACGAGGAGAGGACCCACAATTGGTCGATGTGCATGCCCTTCTCTCTCGTTTATACTGTATATTTGTAAAAAGGGAATGGTTGTGATACGATTAAAGGGAAGGATTGTACAATGCGCACTAGGTGGACACAAGCACTTCGCTGGAAAGATGAACGCATGACATGTGCTGATACTATCTCAGTAAACCGAAACAAATGTAGATGAACGGAAAAGAAGCGTACCTGTTTAGTAGTAAGGTACGGTGCAGGCATGGCTGTTAGAATAAATCCGAGGCTACCGAGGACCAAACAATCACACGAAATACGGCACTGAAATTTGTTAATGAAGTTCATCAATATGGCTACATCCCGGCTTGACTATGGACGCTCTTTCCCGTGACACCGTCACAATACCACGCACCGGTCAACCGGGCGCCGGCACACGCCGCCGGCTCCCCTTGCGCGTCTGTGCTATTATGTTGGCATATGTTACATCGTGTGACTACCCCCTCTATATATGAGAGCCTATGATACAAGTGTTCTATTAGGACACGACTTCATATTCTATCTAAACACAATACTACTCAGAGTCTAATTGTAATATACCTTGTACACTATATTTGACAGAACTCCAACAAACTCCACTTTGGCTAATATTCTCCATCACCCTGGATTTGTCCATACGTCAAACTTTCATGTACATTGAATTTGAGTATATCCCATGAGTACCGCCGCTACTCCAAAAACTCTGTGTGACTCCACCTGCAAGGCTGCAACTTGTCGTCCCTTCATTTCTTGATCCCAAACAAAGCCCGAGCAAAATTGAGTTTCTCTTTACTTTAGTTTGTGCTCCCAACTTGTAGAGTATCCGTTCAACGCCATCACATACTGGTCACTGACTTGAGTGGAAGCGAACAACTCACATATTGGATGTTACACATAAGAGTTATCTAAACTCAACATCGCCGCTCTTCCTTGACCATTTGTCTGAAACTTTAAGGAATTTCACCATTGCTTGTAGTCATCCCAAGTCAAATTCGCAGTTGTCTCACCACATGTATGACCACCAGAGCCCTGACCCGTCTCCATGCCCCGTGCGTACCGCACGTCTCGCCGCTATTACCGCGTCGAGCCTCTGCTCTCTCGATCGACACTCAAGGGTTGCGAACCCACACCACTCAACCCCCACTGCAGAGTACCATCGATCATTACCGACCGACGACGAGTTTCATGCTTCCATCAGACCACTAGGCTCCAGTCCGAAATACGTGTCACTTGCTTTTCCCCCGCTGAATAGGCTTCGATTCTCTGGATCCTTACACTGTAGCCCCTCAATCAACATCGAGTGAAATCTTCCAGACTTGAGCTCCACCTTCAACATGACTCCATGGTAGATGATCAGTCCACCCTCGTGCCCTGTCGACTTCAAGCTCTCGTGTGCACCATCTTGAATCAACCCCGCGTCATAGTCTTATCGAAGCTGCACAAGCCCTCAAGCCCGCGCCACGTGTTTCCATGCCCAGAAGCCAATCACCATCAGCATCACGCTCCTACGTCGTCGTTGCCGAGCCCATCACCGTCTTCTGTACCAACTAACTCGCATCGATCCGTCAGACTGTCCAGCACGACCCAGTCGAACTTATCCGGACGCATGACACGCTCCAGGCTCCCAAACCATCTTCTGCGATTTCCATCAATCACATGATAATTCCATCCTATCTGACATGGCTTCCTGCATCACCTTCAAGCATCTCTGTTGTGCCACAAAAACTTTTAGTCTTGTCTACCATAACCCGGACATGGCTTCCTGCATCACCTTCAAGCATCACAACGCTCCAACGCGTAACACCAGCCAGCTCAACTGGACCAGACCGTGTCATGCGTACTTCAGGCTGCAGCCCTGCACTTGGGATTCAGATGGGCTCCACCGAGCTGGGCAGATGCCCTGCGCGCCTGCATCACGAGTAGACCACGCGATGGGAAAACCGGGAGCTACTATTTGCCGCATTTTGCGGCAAATAGTCAGCGCAACGCACACAGATGCCTCCACTGGGCCGGCCCATCAGTTGACCACGCCCGCATCATTTCAAAAAGATGTAAAAATATGGGAGGTCGCGAGGATTCGAGCTCAGGACCTCAGATTCATAGTGGCTGTGGCACACAACCACGCCAGACGGGTATAACTGATTGTACGTAGCGCGAAATTTTATAAGAACTCAAAATCAGCGTTAACATATGAAAACATTTTCGGGAAAATCAAAACATTTCCTGAAAGAAATGCGATTTCTTTCTAAAATGACGAATATTTTTCAAAACAGGACCACTTTTGAAAAAGATAGACAATTGTTTTGAAATAGAACATTTTTAGAAAATGATGATATCTTTTTTAAAACTGGAACATTTTTTGAAATTCAAAAATAAAACTCAGAAATGCGAATATGAAACTCCTGGAAAAATTTCGAAAACACGAACATTTATTAAAACTTGTAAACAATTTTTGAAACTGGAAATTATTTTTCGAACCTCATGAAAAAATGAAAACATGAACATTTTTTAAAAATTTTGAACAATTTTTCTAAATGAGAACATTTTTAAAACGTGAACATACTTTAAATTGTGAACAAAATTTTGAGAATGCGATCATTTTCTGAGATTGTGAACAAAAGTTTGAACGTGCATTTTTTTTGAAACTCCTGAGCATTTTTTAAAAAATTTGACCAAATTTTGAACAAGAGAACACTTTTTGAAATTCAAACAAATTTGAAATTTTTAAACAAAATAAAGAGGAGAATAAAAAAAGAATAAAAATAAACAGGAAAAACAAAAAATGCGAACAAATGATAAATTCCAAAACTTTTCTAAAAATTTGAACAAATTTGAAAACACGAACATTTTTTGAAAATCACGAACAAAATTTTAAAAATGGGAACAAATGTGAAATTCCATTTTTTTTTTGAAAATTTGAACAAATTTGAAAACACGAACATTTTTGGAAAATCACGAACAAATTTTCAAAATAAAAACAAATTTTGTATATTTTTTGAAAATAATAACATGTCTTTTGAAAACCTGAACAAATAAATTTGAACATTTTTTAAAGCGAACATAAGTATTGAATATGTTGACCTTTTTCTAAAATTGCGATTTTTCTAAAGCAATAATAAAAGAAAGAAAGAAAAAGGATAATGAAATGAAAAACGCGAAAAAAAGAAACAGATAATAGCTAATCTGTAGCATGTATAGGACACTAGCGTTGTGGAGCTCCGGTGGCTAGCAACGTACCTTGAAGCATGGGAGGTTTGAGGTTGAATCCTTTTCGTTCATTTTTTGCGGTATTTTTTCTGTATGAAGCACCCGTCATGGGCTGGTCCGTGAACGATCGATGGTGTGCGATCTGCCGACAGTTTGTCACAGAATGCGGCGAATAGGGAATTCCGGGAAAACCCTATTCGCCACTCGCTGTGCTGAAGTGTCGGGGATTCGCACAGGACGAGCATGCTTGGGACAGGAGATGGGCTGGCCCAGTTCAAGCTTTACACAGTATGCCGAAATCTGAACCCAGTTTTTTCCTGTGTATTCAGTTTTTTCCCTTTCCCTTTTCTTTTCTTCTTCTTCTTTTTCTGTTTCTCTTTTTCTTTCCTTTGTGTTCTAGTTTTCCCTTTCTTTTTTCTTCTTCTTTTTGTTTTTCTTATTTCTGTTTCTTTTTTCAATTTTTCTGTTTGTTTTCTTTCTTTGGTTTTTAATTTCTTTTTTCCTTTCCTTTTCTTCTTTTTTTATCAAAAGAATTTCAAAATATTAAAAAAATCGTGTTTCCATAAAATGTTGATGTTTCAAAAGAATTTCTCAAGATTCAAACATTGTTCTCGTTACACAAATAGTTCAAAAGTTTAGAAATGCAGAAATGTACCGGATTTCAATTTTTTGTTCACATTTTCATAAAATGTTCGCGCTGCCAAATTTGTTCAGGATTTTTCAAAATTGTTCTTCATTTCAAAATTTGTTCTCAAGATTAAAAAAATGTCCGTGCTTTAAAAAATTGTTCGCGCTTCCAAATTTGTTCGGGATTTTTCAAACTTGTTCTCCGTTTTGAAATTAGTTCTCAAGATTAAAAAATATTCGTGCTTTAAAAAATTGTTCATGCTCCCAAATTTGTTCTCTGTTTTAAAATTTGTTCTCAAGATTCAAAAAATGTTCGTGCTTCCAAATTTGTTCTACGTTTCAAAATTTGTTCTCAAGATTCAAAAAATGTTCGTTCTTTAAAATTTGTTCTCCGTTTCAGAAAATGTTTGAAACATTTCAAAAAATGTTTGTCATTTAAAAAAAACATGTATACAAATTTGTTCTTGTTTCTCGAAAATCTTCTGAAATTTTCAAAAACTGCGTGTAATTCTTATTCTTTTTATGTAATTCAGAAACTATTTTGAAACCTGAAATTTTCTAAAAAATAGTTCGTGTTTTCTAAAATGTGTGCAACAATTGAAAAATCTGTACGCTACAGCAAATATGATCCTGCAAATCTGTACGTTATACTATCACAGTATATTAAAAGTGATGCACGCAGGTACTTACTATGAACTCCCAGTTGGTGTGGTGTCTAGCATCTCACGTAATCAACTGTTTGGCGTGAGTTTGATCCCTAGCCGCTGCAATTTTACTTCTTTTTGGGGATTTTTTTGCGCTATACATGGGCCGGCCCAGTCGGAGCACTCCTGTGCGGGCGGTCAACTATTTGCCGCAACGAGCGGAGCATAGGAGCTCCCCCATGCGATGCACACCTTCCTAGCCTGTTTCGAGCCGCTCCTGCTGCAACTGTGCCACAACTAGCCGAGATCGAATCGATCTGGTAAGCGCCACTGCCTGCCGGACGCATCTCGCCAAAAAACAAACCCAAAACAAATCCTGCTACACGCAACGATGTACACCTGATCACTTTTTTCCAATCTTGTTGAGAACGACACCGCAGCTCGTCTGCATCTCA